CGCCTTTATTTACTGTTTTCTTGTGGGCTGTCCCCCTCTTCCTTGGCTTCTGAAAAATCTAGAAAAGAACAAGAGAAAGCCTTTCTTATAGGGAGGACTTCCTCACTAATTTTTCCTGTTTTGTTTTTATTCTGTGTTCATGCCCATCTGTGTTTTATTCAGCCTTCAATCTAACTGCAACTGGGAGGTTTTTCTTGATGAATCCATTTGGAAGGATAAAAGGAGAAGTAAACGAGTGTGACACCCCATGGGAATATCCTACAATTCACGGGTCCAGATAGAACATGTGGACACAGGGCCGTACCTTCAAACCTAAATCAAGATTCGCTGTCGGCCGCTTTCCATTTCCAGGTGTAAGGAGTAGACTGGCAGATGAAATTAACATGTGGGAACAGAATTTCTTTATGGACAGAAACGGAAGAAAATATGGAAATGGGAATCTTCCCAGAAAATCCAGGACATAGAGTTACTACGGGGAAGTCTTCTTATATTATAAAACAAGGACAGAGGTAGGAGATAAAGGTGATAAAGCAACTTTACCTGTTGAAATACACACCTGAAGTTGTAATTCAACTAAAATCAGAGGCTTTGAATAGTTTCTGACTTGCATTGCTTAGGAGTTTAGGAGGCCACGAGACGACCTGCTACTTCAGTTCTGAGCGGCAAGTGGAAGTGAGGGAACTCTTGGGCTAAACCAAAGTGCTCCCCAAATGTCTCCTTCCCTGGGCTTCGCAGTGTATTTCCTGACTTCAGGGCTGCCCTTCACCTGCTTCCCTTCCTACAGCACCCCCTGCTGCCCAACGGCACCTCCTAACTCCTCTCTCCGTGAGCAACTTGCTCACTGAGAGTCCTGTTCATTTCCTGACTCTCTGGGTCCTAAGTGTGTCTGATTTCCTCCCATCCATCTAGCAAATTCCCACAGGATGAAGGTGGAGGTTCTCTCCCCCTCCCCCTCCCCGAGGGGCAGGGCAGGACTTTCAATATAGGGATGCCCGGTTGGGGGCACAGTAGACCCATGGGCCTCGAGGGCCAGTTTCGAGAAGCTTGTAGAGCGTGCCAGACCGGGAGTGGACCTGGCCGCTGACCTGGCCATGCAGGAATGAAATATGTGCCTGGGCTTCAGACTCCAAAGCGGGAAAGAAAAAGTTCCCCAGCCTGGCACCAGGCCTCATCTCCCGCACCCTAGTATCAAATGCCTGTATAGTCATGGCCATAAATCTGCTGCCAGGTGCCTGGGTAGAAGGGCAGGAGAGCATGGACATTGTGTTTCAGCAGAGACACAGCCCTTGTTTGTGCGTGTGTAATGAGAGCCAGTTAATCTGATCAAACGGTCAAACACGGGAAATTGTATCCCGCGGTGGACTGTGGAGATTTCTGACCACGGATCTGAGTTTCTTCCTTTTCCCCGCTGATCTGAACGTTGAAAGTATGTCTAAGAGTCCGAAAGCCCTCAGGGTGGGGTTGTTTATCGTAGGGTCCACAAATTCCCTGGAATCCCCTGCAAAAATGTGGGTGTGTGCACACTGATGTAGCAATTGTACAGTATTCTAGGGAGGGGGCATAGTTCTAACAGATTCTCAAAGAGGCCAGGACGTAGAAAAATAAGAATGACTGCCTTAGTTTTTCAGGCAGGTGATTCTGAGACACTGGACCAGGCTCTGAGACAACCAGAGAGAATGGGAGCATGCATCTGGTGGCCGGCGAGGGGCAGGCCCTTTGGAGGAGCCACGGGGGTTACTGCAAAGTCCATCTTACCAGGCATAGGCTGCTGTGCCATTCATTCATTCATTCATTCATTCATTCATTCATTCATTCTTCATCAGAGAGAGCACAGGCAGTAGAGGGACAGAGAATCTTAAGCAGGCTCCGAGCTCCACACCCAGTGCAGAGCCTGGCAAAGGGCTCAATCTCACAACCAGGAGATCATGACCTGAGCCGAAATCAACGGTCAGATGCTCAACCGACTGAGCCACCCGGGCACCCCTGCTGTGCCCTTTAGACACCACCGATGCCAGGCTGGCCTGATGTTACTTGTCTTGCCTGGTCGGAAGGGTTGTCCTTTACGGACGCCCAACATTCTGGGTGGCAAGGTGAAACAGTTTGGAACTGCCACCGCATGTGAGTCAAGCTCAGCAGCTTCTGCGGGATGGGCAGCACAGGGTTGGGGGGAGAAGGGTTTCCTGTTCGAGAGGAAGGGCAGCTGGTCCACCTGCTCTCGCTCCAACCATTCCATTGCTACCGAGTTTCCCTGCAGGAATCTATCGAGATGCCCCTTCCATCTCTGCTAAACTCTTTGTTCCTCCCTTCTGGAAGACCGATCTCTAGCTCCTTGTCCACTAGACCCTCCCGTTGCATCCCTGAAACGGGCTCGGTCCTTGCTTTGTTAAGTGCTGCTGCCAGGTGTCTGTTCTCCCCGGGGAAATGCGAACACCCTGACTCAGTGGGGCTCACACTCAGTTCCTTCTGCTGCCTTCCCTGGCCCTATTCCATTTTTTGGCATCAGTCCTACTCGAAGGCAGGAAGGAGACTGGGGAAGGTAAGGGGACAGCGGCTCTACTGGAATGGCCCCCGGGAACACACCGGGAAGTGTGGAATCAGTTCCTGCCCTTGAGAAGGGAGTGCGGGCCCTGGAGGCCAAGCTGGGAGAGCCACAGATGGCTGTGTGCCGCAGAAGGAGGAGGAGAAGATGCCCAGTGCCACAGTCCCTGTCCTCTTCTGGCCCATCATCCCACTCTCGGGTGACTCTAAGAACTTCCTCCCCGGAGTTGGGGTCCTCTGCCTCCCTTCCTGACACTTTCCCTCCCCCCAGAACGGCCACCCTTCTAAGACAAGGTCATTCTCCAGCTTAAACACCTTTATTGAGTCCTCTTTTTTTCCTAAATACTTTTAGCATGGCACCAATTTCAATGCAGCATCTTTTATAGTGTCATTTCCTACAATGAACCTAAGCTTCGGCCAAGGCAGACCTCTCAATTTTTCACAAACACACCTATGTCTCTAGAACATTCTGCTATGCCATTCTCTCTTCTAGAAATACCCTTCAGTGCCTCTTCTCTCCCTAGACACTCCTGCCTAAGCCCAGCTTCAATCTGGTCTCCGCTGTGGACGGTCCTCGGCATGCCATGCAGAGATAACATCTGGCTAGGTGCTCCCACAGCGCAGCGTTCCCATACAAAGGGTGAACCAAAACTAATGCTTACGGAGCCCTTCCTCGACACTAAGCACTCTTTGGCACACGGATTGTCTCATTTCTTCCCCATCTCTGATTCCTCGCCCAACATGTGAGGGAGTCAACGATCTTCATTTTCAGAAGAGGAAACGGAGGTTCAGAGAGGGTAAGTATCTTGCCCAAGGTCACAGAGCTAGGAAGAGTCAGGGCTAGGATCTGATTTCCTGGGTGTCAGACCCTCAAGTCCATGCTCTTTCATGCGTGTTAAGGCCATGTTATGGGCTGTATGCGGCCGTGACTGGTGTTATAAGAGGCCATCTGACCTGTGGGGGTTGTTGGCCTTCTCACGGCAAGATCTGTCCCATGTCATTCGCCACTGCAGCCCCTCTGCCTAGGTCAGTGCCGGGCAGCGTATTCAGTGGATGTCTGCGGAACTGCTTTGAAGGGTGCAAGTTTGGAGAGCAACCTCACCTACCTCTTACCAACTACCGCAAAGAGAGCTTCCGAGGTAGATTCTCCCAAGAGTAGAAGAGCACTTTAGCAGGTAGGAGACAGCGGGGAAGGCCCATCCCCACCGTCTGCCCCGACTTCTCCCGCATTTCTGACTGGGGGTTGGGCCTGGCAGCTCCAAGGGAGTCAAAGCTCTTGGAGCTCTTTGGCTGAAGTGGGAATAAAGTCCAGGCTCTAGGAATGTGGTCTACCTGCCCCCTGTCCCCTACCTTCCTTCTCCCTGCTCCTGGACTTCATGGTGAGCAGTGACGCCAGGCAACAGGTGGTGAGGGTGCCTGCTCCCTGGAGAGAACCTGCCCTCCTTCCCCGAGGACCAGGGGAGGCACTGGCCCCCTCCCCGGGGCCCCCTCCGGCCTTACCGTCGGTGCTGGCATCATCCACCAGTATGATCTCCTTCAGCAGGATGGCGGGGCTGGTGTGCAGGACGCTGTACACGGTTCGCAGCAGCGTGGACCAGGCCTCGTTGTGGAACACAATGATGACGCTGGTGGTGGGCAGTGGAGGGCAGCGGCGGAATTTCTGGTCGACACACCTGGACAGACGGAAGCATACAGATAGAGCTCTCCAGGTCCCCGGGAGTTCCAGGGGCGGGAGGGCTCTGTCCGTAGGTTTTCGTAACCATCCTCTGCTCTCTGCTGTGCTTGGGCATGGCTGTTCCCTGTTCCTGGCTTACTTTGGTTTTCTACCTGCTCTGAGCCTCTGCACAGGTCCTAGCCGACCCACTCCAAAACCTGTCCGCCCCACAGCTGGCTCCGTGCACCAGCCGCCATGCGGAGGGGCTCCCCTGCCCGCCCCCCCCACCACCCCCGCCCGGCTTCTCTCATCTGCTCTAGGACGTCCCAGGGCTGACTCTCTGTTCCTCAGTAATGTGCGTACTGCATAGAGTGTAATCCAATCCAGAGGTCCCAGAGGGGAAGTAATAGAGCGCGAGTTTGACATCCGAGAAAAGCGACTACAACTTCCACACTCAAGGAGAGAATAAGGCTCTTCTCTTTGCAATGTACGGTTCTTCTCTAACCCATTTCCTCGTTAATTACCTGTCATCTGATGCTACTATCACACATGATTTCCTGTGGCCTCTTCTCCGCCTTCATCTACTCCAGCTATGCTGGGCACGTGGCCACACCGCTGCCCTCCTGACATTCCGCCTTGGGTGGGAGTGGGAATGGGTGAATCCTGGATTATCAAGGAATCACGTGGCCTGACAGCCTCTCTTATCCCCCTCTGCGGGTCACAGAGATTTCTCATGGACCCTCCAGAAGAGCCTCCCCAACTTCCTCCACTGGCTGCCCTCATGCCCGACGCCCCTCCCTGCTGAGGAGCTCCCGATAACTCCGAGTGGCTCCACCTTCTAGGACTAGACTAGCTGGTCCAAGTCCGAGGAAACCTAGGTTCACAGCCCGGAGGAACCCTGAACCTGAGGATGGGAGCTGCCACACGAGAAAAGGCCAAAAGGGTGTATGACTCTTGCGTTGGGAAAAAAACATCTTTGACTTAAGGGCGGTGTGAACACGGCCACGGCAGCCTCAGTGTGAGGTGGCCGAGCAGGGATCCAAGTGCTGGTCCACTGCCCAGGACTGGAAGTACAAATGGCTTCCTAGAAAGGTTGGAATGAATTCATGGCCCCGTGGGCCTTCATGGCAGGAAACCAGGAGGTGCTAGGACAGTCCTGACCATCTGGGCTGCCGTCAGGAAATGTCCCTTTCTCAGCAGCTCAGTGGCAGAGTGCTCCAGGCTCAGGTAGGCCTCAGCAGGGGGCAAGGCCACCGACATCGCAGCCTGGAACCAGCCCTCCCAGATACCCTTGTGTCAGGCCCTGGCCCCAGGCCCTGAGTCCCTCCTTCTGTAACCTGTCACTTTCATAACTGTAACTTCATAATTCAACATTTCCCTCGCACAGTATCCCTGGGCCTCCGGCCTGACCACAATACCAACCACCAGCATAAGGGCACTGGCCAGGAAAAGAAGGGAGGGCTTAGAAGAAATCCTTGCCCACATCATAAGATCACCATCAGCTCTTTAACCTGGCATTTGGCCCGTGGCCATGACCATACCAGCCACGCTTTTGGCGGAGCCCTGGCCTCACCCTAGGACTTTGGGTGCTACTTACTCAGGGGGTCGGGTGTCCGGCCCCAGGGCCCTCTGCAGGGAGATCCGGTCACTGGCAAATGCATTGAAACAGTGTTTCTTATAGCCTTCTTCCTTCTCCTGGGTCTCCAGACTGGTCCACTTGTCCTTCTGAAATGCTTTTCCATCTGCCCCAGGGCTATTGGGATCCTGTGGTGGCCGTTCCCAGAAGGGCCTCAGCTCTGCTGGGGTATAGAGCCCAGGTAGGCAGGACCGGTTTATGGAGACCGGTGTCTCCTGGGGCTCTGGGGCCCGGATCTGGAGCTTAGGCATCGAATCTCGAAGGTTGTTCACAGCCCCCAGCATGAGGTCCAGAACATGGTCCTTCTGGCTCACCAAAGACTTCAGCCACGGTTTCTCTGTGGCCTGTTCTGTGCTGCTGACATCCCTGTGCATGATGAAGAGAAAGAGCACGAAGGCACTGCCCACCATGGCCAAGCGCATGGGCATGTGGCGTCTACGGAGGAGACGCATCCTCGGGGACCAATGGGGACCCCGGCTGGGTCAGCTCTGAGTGCTGGGCCTGACCCTGGAAACAGCTTGATCTGTTGCGATGGCCACACCTTGGGGCCTCAGCCTGAGAAGGGAAGGGATGAGAGAGAGAAATGAGCCAAGGCACAGGTGTGGAAGGGGCTCGAGGTTTGAGGCCAGGCTCTGTTGCTCAATGCTGACAACACCCTGGCCCAGTCACTTCACTTTTCTGTGCCTGACTTTGCTCTCTCTGTAGAATGAGGAGGCCAGACTCAGTGTCTCTTTCCTGCTCTAAGACTGTGCCACTCATGGGTCTAGGACACCGAGACTCTGCATGAAGAGGTTTAATCGACGTAACCACCTTGGGAAACAATGTGACATTATCAAGCAAAATCGGAAATGTACACATCTACGACCCCGCAATTCTACTCCTGGTTTTACATCCCAGATAACCTCCTGCACACGAGCCAGGAGGCACGCGCAGGAAAGCGTCTAGCAGCGTTGACTCAGATGGCAAAAAGGAGAAACAATCCAAGTGTCCATCCACAGAACGAATAAGTGTGAAATACCCACAGAACAGAGGATTCTACGGCAGTGACACAGGACGAGCTGCTTCCACAAGCAGCTACATGGTGTTAATTGGTGAGTCTAGACAGCAGGCTGCAGAAAGATACATACGGTATGAATCCACTTACAGAAAATTCAAACACCTAAAACTAAACAATATATTGTTTATGAATACAAAAATGAACATGTAGCGGGGCGCCTGGGTGGCTCAGTCGGTTAAGCGGCCGACTTCGGCTCAGGTCATGATCTCGTAGTTTGTGAGTTTGAGCCCCGCGTCGGGCTCTGTGC